ATAGCAAGTATACATAGATTTCCCAGAAGGAACGGGCTAGCTAGGGATGGTTTGGTCCCCACTTAAGGTGTTTGAGGTCTATTTAGAATATGAATCATTGCTATTCATCCCAAGGGAAAGTAGGTGGGTATAGTAGTTTCTCTTTTTTTTTATACCATTAACCTTCAGTGAATATGCTTCAATTGTTTCCTATGCTGAGGGCCCAACCTTGTCTAACTGCCTTATGATAATTTCTAATTAATTTAGCTATCTGCAGTACTGAGACTTTGTGGGAGACTGAGATTAGGGTGGCAAACTAATTAATTTGGTGGAGAAAATTTCAAGGCAGCCAAACATTCAGGCTGTGGGATGGCAAGTGTTGGAGGTCTGCTCACCACCTCTTCTTTGAGAATTAAAAGGAAACAGTACAGTTGGATGATTTTAAAAGGTTTGAGTTAAAAAAAAAAAAAGTTTGAGTTTGGGTGAAGGTAGGTCCTGCAAAGCTGGAGATGAGGAGATCTTGGCTGTTGAAAAGATTTGCAATAAAAGAAACCAAGTACTTTACAATAGGACAATGGGAAAAAGGCTTTGAGGGAATATGAGGAACCAGCAAGAGCCACCCCTTGGAGGCTCAGAATTACAAAGGTGAAATACTTTGTTTTGAGTGGAAGCTTCAGGGTACTCTGTTGAAGAGCTGCCTGGGGAAGGCTTCAGTTCACCATACTCAGCCATCCAAGCACTTGGAAGGCTATGCAACCTTGATGCAAAAGGGCCTGGCTACTGCTCCAGCTGGTGGCAAGACCATAGCATCATCCACATGATGCTGGTTTTATGTGCACATGTAATGCAAAAGTTGTGGGGTTAGGGAGGCTTCCACCCAGATTTCAGAAGAAGGCCTGGTAGGCCAGGCAGTGTGCTCCTGAGAGAGCAGTCTGTGAAGCTGTGAAAATAAAGCTAAAAGTGCAGTGGAGACCCCAGGATGTTGGAAAACCCAGGTGTGTGGAAGTTCTGAGGAAAGTCTCAGGAGTGAGCAAAGCTAGTCCAAGAGAGAAGCCACAAGGGCTGCAACCATAGGCAGTGCCATAGGTGTAGGACCACCCAAGCCTTTTGGAGTTCCTATTTTATCACAATTTGCCTAGGGTGCTGGACATGGAACTATGAGATTTAATGTTTGCCCTGATGGTCCTATTCCTTTCTATCCTCATATCTCTCTTTTTGGAATGGGCATGTTTACCCTGTGCCTTTGTATGTTAGCAGTGTTTGATTTTCTTTTGATTTTACAGGGTCTCACAGAAGTCTGTCTAAACTTTGGTCGAGCAAAGAATCTTTGTCACTATAAAATCAAATACTATGTAAGTGTTTATAATAATGTGGTAATTAGATGGATGATATGGAAAGAGTTGCACAGTACACTAAAAGGAAAAATTAAGGTATAGAAGAATGATATTATAGCTTTATCTGATATTAGGCAAAATATACACATATATAATTTGTTTTTTTTTTTAACTGAGCACAGTGGTGTACACCTGTAGTACCAGCTACTAGGGAGGTTGAGGCAGGAGGATAAAAGTTGTAGGACAGCCTGGGTAATTTATGGATGCTCTGTTTCAAAATAAAACTTAAAAAGGGCCTGGGATGTAGCTCAGTGGAAATGACTGGGTTCAATCCCCAGTACCCCTCTCCCCTAGACATACAAGGTACTCAATAAACAAGCAACAATTTTTCTATACTTAGAGAAAAAAGTTAGAAAATATGCACACAAAACCTAACACTTATTATCATGAGAGTTTAGTGAAGAGAAACTGACATCTGAAAATTCAATAAAGATTTTGTTAGGTGTTGGGTAATATATCTTTTTTGAAAAATGAAGTTTATTGGACAATAATCCAGAGATAGTATACATGCTAGTAGGAAACAAAAATCTGGTTTTGACTTGGTAAGAGGTGTAGAGGAATAACACTTTGCTTCTTTTAGAAGGTTTTGTTGTTGTTGTTTATTTGTTTGTTTGTTTTTCCTGGTTGGAAGCAGTGGTTATTTTTTCTCAGAAAGCTTCATGGCTATAGAAAAAAGATTTTTGAATTCTAGACAGATAGGAATACTAGATCTAGCCTTTGGAGTTACTGTTTTTATCTTTCTGTAAGAATGCACAGTCTTAGAATTTTAAGGCATTAAGGAACCCCAAATATCTCCTTATTAGCTTCATTTTTTAAGAGATAAAAGAAAGTGCTGTTTCTCAAAGAAATATACCTCTTATGAATATACATAATATTAAGAGAAGAGAAAAATAATGTTACCTGATAACTTTTTTTTTGAGGACTATACATAATCTTTTTTTTTTTTTTTGGAGACAGGATCTCACTATGTAGTTCAGGCTGGCCTTGAACTCACTATGTAGCCCAGGCTGGCTTCCAACTTTAGGTGTTCCTTCTCTTTTAGCCTCCTGAGTCCTGGGATTCCAGGTGTGCGGCCACCACGCCCAATGGGGACTATACAGTCTTAAAACACCATTTAAGAACAATGCAAACAACAAAAATAAACTAATCCTCTCCAAACTTTCAAAAACTGTAGGCTCCTACATAAGTCTACAGATTCCTGAACAAGTCTATTATGAATAAAAATATTACCAATAAAAATCATGCACTTAATTAAAAATTGATAGAGTTGCATAAAGAAACTTTCATAAGATCAAAACTATTCAAGTTAAAAGTGGATAACTACCAGTATGTTCATGTGCAAAACATGTGGATTAATAATCACATAAATAATACTCAAATTCATTATGATTGTGAAAATAAAAATTAATTACAAGCTGGGTATGGTGGTGCATACCTGTAATCCCAGTATTCTGTGAGGCTGAGCCAGGAGGATTGATAGTTTTAGCCCAACCTGGACATTGTAGTGACTTAGTGAGATCCTGTCTCAAAATAAAACAGGGCTGGGGGATGTAGTACAGTGTGAAGGCCCTGGGTTTAATTCCCAATACCATACACCAACGAAACAAAACAAAACAAAACAAAAAGCAGTACAAATAGTGCCTATCAAATTGATGACAATAAAACATTTTCAGAAAATCAAGATGTAAGGATAGAGACCCATAGGCAGGGAGAGGTGAGGCACAGCCCCCCCACCAGGAGTTCAGATAGCTGGCAGAACAGGTTTAACCACCTGTGAAAAGTTGGCAGTCTGGGGTTGCACCTCCTCTTCACGCTGCACCCTGCAAAGCTTGGTTTGCCAAGATCAAAAGGAAAAAAACCTTGGCCCTAAGATGTAAAAGGCCCCTGAAAAGACCCTTCCCTGATGTCCCTAATAACGAGCTAAGTTAATCATTAACCAATCAAGTAAGGGCACCCTCAGCCCAGAGGCAAGATAGGCCCCAACTACTAGAAAACCAGCATCTTGAGCCCCCCTCACGGTGGCTCCATTTCGGACACCCCTGCCTGTCTCTCTGAGAGAAGATAGCTGTTCTCTTGCATGCTTGAAAAGTACAATTTTGGTTCTATGCTTTCAGTCTCTATCTGATTCTTCCACAACCTTCTGAGTCGTCTGGAGAGTCAGGCCCGGGACTACAGGGACTCTCCACCTGTCTGTGCCCGGGACAATTTGATGAGAATGTTAGGAAAGATGATCTTTTATACCTTGCTGTAGGGGTGTGAACTGCTAAAATTATGTTGGAAAACATTTTAGGATATCCTGTGAATGTGTTCGTGCTTCAAAACCAAGAAAAGTGCCTTCAGGTATATGCCTGAAATTCTCTAGGATATGTACACATAAATATCCTTGTTTTGCAGATAAAGTAACAAAAACCCAGCTTCTTATACTATTAAATGAATTAATAATATATGCAAACTATCTGCGTATAGTCAATTAGCTGTCGGTCAAATCCTACCTATCTATGAACCCCATCAGTATTGATGAAGAACTTAGTTTAAGTGCTCTCTGGAGAGGCATTTTCATAGCTTTGAGCAGACTACAAAATCTGGAGGGCGGTCCCCTCGTCCCACTTTGCACGGGGGTGCATGTATGTGCATAGGACTGCGTGGCTTTGGAAGGGCTCGGGCTCTCACTGAGATCCAAGTCAGCCCGGGCCCAGGTTCCGGTTTCCAGGCGCTCTCAGCGCCTTGTCAGTTTCAGCACCAGCGTTGGAACTCCGGGTTCCGGGTTTTGACGCCCTCTTGGACTGGAGGTGCCAGGGGCTGGGAGGGACGGCGCCCAGAAACCCCGAGCCAGCGGGGCTGCACCGGGATCCCCGAAAAGTGCACGCGGACCCCTTAGGAAGTGTACCAGGATCTCTCGTGGTGCACCCGGATCCCGGAGGTTCACCCGGATCCCGGGAATTGCACCCGGACACCCGGAGGTGCACGCGGACCTATGGGAGGTGCACCTTGACTCCCGGAGATTCACTTGGACCACACGCTCCGGGGTTCCTCGGCCCGGCCGATGGCACTCCCGGAGCGAGGTGTTAGTGTTTCCGGCCAGGGGGCACCAGCTCCCGGACGCGCGATGTGGCCCGGGGTCGCTGGGGGGACCTGGCTTCGAGCCAAACGCGCTTGCTGGCCTGGCTCCTCCCGCGGGGTTCCCGGGCCGCCGCCGCTCCGAGCGCGCCCTCCGCTGCCGAGAGCCTGGACAGGCACGGCGTGGAGCAGAGGGGACCAGCGTACAGGAGCGGAACCCGAAGGGGCCAGGAAAGTTGATCTGATGTGTTAAACCGCCTTCCAGGAGAAATGTGAAAGCCTTCGTGGTCTCTCGTTTGTGAGATAGGAAACAGCGCTAGATCGCTGCAAAGGGGAAGGGGGCGTGAAAAGAATTGAGATGTGCCGTGTGTCTGTGCCAGCTCCTCTCGAGGAATGTAACCATTATGTACTGCAAGTATGAACTTAAAAAAAGAAAAGAAAGCCAGGCACTGGTTAACAGCAGAAGTCACGCAAAGCCCTGCAGGCTCCGGAAGCTCCTTCACCACTGGCTCCCGGTCCCCGCCTTGGCCGCCTTCAAATCCCGGAGGAGGGAACCAGAGCAGACCCGGAGTGGCCAGCGGCAGGCTCCGGCCAGCCCGCACTGGGCATGCGCAGGACTAGAGCGCCAGGTCGGCGGGTTGCCGTGATGAGCCCGGAAGCGGCAGCGCGCGCCCCTCCGCGCGAGAACTAGTTTCGTTCCGCTTCCTTGGGACTGAGTCCTGGGAGAAAGCTCTGCAGGAGTCCCGAGTCTCGCCCGCGCTGGGACCATGTCCAGCAACAGCTTCGTTTACAATGAGCAGTCCGGAGGAGGGGAGGCGGCGGAGCTGGGGCAAGAGGCGACCGCGACCATTTCCCCCGCGGGCGCCTTCGGCCTCTTCAGCAGCGATTTAAAGAAGTGAGGAGAAAGGTTGGGGTCGGGCGGGTTGAGGCCCCGGGCTGGGCCGTTTCCCCTGGGTGGGCGCGGCGGGGTAACTTGGGGTGCTGGGGGTGGTTGGGCGGTGGGTGCGTGTGTGTGTGCGTCTCCGGTTTTCAAAGTTGAGTGAAAAAAGAGCCACTGATCGAGCCTAGGTTCAACCTAAGCTGATTGAGTTTGTCTGGGCAGGGACACAAGTCTGAATTTTGAGCATACACGGTTATTTAATGTCCTTAGAACCGAACATTGAGAAATTCACTTATTTAGAATGAAGAGTGTTTTGAGGTTGTGAGTGTGAATGTTGCTTATAGTAAACTATTCTGACGCTGGAATGCAGAGGCAAAGAAAAGAGGTGGCTGTTTTTGAATGGATAAACTGGTTAATATACTATCACTAGTGTTTCTAGTACTGTATCCTTAGACTACAGATGAAGAAATAAACCAATCCAGAACAACCTGGGTAAGAGAGTATTTAAAAACAGTGTTACAATGAAAAAAGTGTTTTTACAAACAATGTGAATTCTAAAAACCGATACTAAACTATATACACTTAGTTTTGTAAAAAACAACAGGTCCTCTTAAGTACCTCCTAGAAGTGGAAAAAATCCCCCAACTTACTTAATTTTTAAATTTTGGATGGAGTAGTTTAATCTTACAGGATATCAATATGTTTATGTCTTATTGTAGTCACTTTCACATTTTTCTTAGTGTTTTGTCTCTCAGTACTAAACAATATGGTCACATAATAACCTGCCACTTCTTAGTTTCACACTGATTTTGATTTAAGGTAAAGTAGTTGTGCTCATATCTTTGTAGGTGTCAGAAGGGTATAATTGAAATTTAAACTTGTAACAAGATTGGATAGTCTAGAAAGTGCTAGTATTTGAACATTGAGATTAAATTTAGTACTTTTATTAGAGAATGCATCCAGCTCACTAAAAGTTTAAAACTTTGAATAGTAACTCTAGACCGTGTATGACCTTGAAGCTTGGTTGGAGGTGGAAATGGAAACATTTGCTTGTGAACTTGAGTGTAACAGTATTCAGGAACAAGGATACACCTGTTGTGCAAGTGGCCACTTAATCTCTCTTGAGCCTAAATGCTCTTATAAAACTGCTATGATTTTTTTCATTTTTAATAGATTAATTTGATATAGTTTTAAGTTTATAACAAATTTGCACCAGTAGTGCAATAGTAGAACTACCCTTTATGGATATTCACCAATTGAGAAAAATTCACTACTCTGCTTTCTCTTTCTCCCCGTTTCTTCCCCCTTTTCTATCTTCAATGTTTATGCAGACACATACACGTTTTTTTTATTACTGTCATCTGAACCATTGGAGAATAGGTTGTCTATATTTTGTTCCTTTACACTTGAAGCCTTTGTGTATTTTTTTAAAGAATAAAAGAAGACCCTTTTAAATTTTAATTTCTTTTAAAATTTTCTTTATTTGATGGTACTGGGGATTGAACCTAGGGCCATTGTTCTCACTGAGCCACATCCCAAACCTTTTTTGTTTAGGCTTTTAGACAGGGTCTCACTAAGTTGCTAAGTTGCCCAGGCTGGGCTGGAACTTCCTTTTTTTTTGCTTCAGCCTCCCAGAGTACTGAATTACAAGCATGTACCACTACACCAGGGTCAAGAAAAGGCTTTTAATCAAGATACTGATATATTCAGGACATGTAAAGTCTCTACAATCGTTGTATATAATCCAATTTGTTATTTGTTCCAATAAAGTTTATTTTTTTTTTAGCACTTTCCAGTCTAAGGTCATATGGTATTTAATTTAGTTGTCATGGCTCTTTAGTCTCCCTTAATCTGGAATAGTTCCTTAGCCTTTGCTTTTCATGATTTTGACATGTTTAAGGAACATTAGCTGGTTATTTTAAAACATGTTGACCGATGTGATATGCTGATGTTTCCTCATGCTTAGAATTAGATTATATGTCCCTTACTAGAATGCACAGGTTACACTTCTTAAAAACATCCTTCTCAATCTATTATAGCTGCAAATATGGGATGCCCATCTTCATGTGACCAGTTTTCCCAGTCAAGGGCTTATCCATTGTCTCTACCTTTCTCTTTTTTCCATTTCCCTGCACAAGTATCTTGCTCTTCATTAAGTTCCTTACTCCTGTTTTAGCAACTATTGAAACGTCTCCTAAACCAGTCATTGCCACAGTGATTGCAAAGTGGTTGCAAAGGACAATGTTGGGACTTCCCAGTTCCCTTCCCATGCTCTTTGGCTTCCCGTCCCAAGCTATATGCTCCCTGATCCTTCACTATCCATCCCAGGCATGCTCAGTCACTTCTAATCATAGCATTCCTGATTTATTTGTTTGTTTATTTATTTATGCTATGTAGCCCAGGCTGGCCTTGAACTCACAGTGATCCTCCTGCCTCAACCTCCAAAGTGCTGGGATTACAGGGCTGCGCCCCCCCCCCCCGTATTTCTTTTTAGAATGTTCTGAACTTGCATTACTTTTAGTTATTTTTATTGCCTGAGTTATTTTCCTTCTTAAAAAAAAATCTCAACCCATTTGGAGGTGCATATATAATGAAAAATAATTTTTTTTTGTATTAAATT